CATTGACCTTCCCCTGGCCTCCCCTACCCCCTGGCACATGCCCTTACCCCTCCCCCCTAGTGTCTTGTGTCCATTGGTTATGCTTATATGCATGCATATAAGTCCTTTGATTGATCTCTTATCCCCCCTCCCCCAACACTCCCCAGCCAGGAAGTAGCAATTCTTGATGTGGGAGAGGGGAGGGAACACCTTTAACTGATTTTACTGGGTAATTGTTCCTAGATCAATGGAAATATGTGCCACCCACAGGATTTGTTAAAGAAACAGAATGTGGGTAACTGTCACTGAAGCTCCACATTGTAGATGGGAAGTTCAGAGGAGGGCTGGATGCATCCTTTCAGTGAAGTCTTCTAAGAAATTAATGAAGTTAAGGCAAATTGTTAATAATTCTGATGCTATTAAAAGTTACAGAAGATGCCTTAGGTTTGTTTGCACAGGACTAAATATTTCAGCAATACAAAAACAGTGGGGCAGATTTTGACTGTTATGTAAGTTGGTATCCCTATTGGTGAAAAATTCACAATGATATTTCATCATGTACCCATTCTGACCTTGAGAGAAGTATCAAGACTGTCAGCTCTAACTGCAGATTTCACTAAGAACACTAAAGGAGGTTACTGCGCACTGGAGTAAACACTAGGTAAGATTCTCACTTCTTATCATTCTCTATTGGAGAGCTTTGCTACTGGAAGAGAGGAAAGGAGAGGAGAAATTACAGGAACCTGGGATTTAAAAGCAGCAGCTTCATCAGCAAAGGAGGAATTGAACCAGTTAGAAGAATCTCTACCTATTTTAGTATTCTCAATTAGGAAACTTTCAATTGCAACAGGCATTTCTCCTTTTACCAGCCGCTTGGAAGCAGCTTTACTGATAAAAACCTGTTGTCCTAGCAGCAAAGCACCCTTGAAAGTGAAGGGCTTACCATCTCCATGGTGCAGATCCAAATCCACATAGAGAATACGGTCAAATTTTCGTCGCAATCGTAATATTCCCAGGACAACATCATTGAGATAACAAAAACCAGATGCTTCATCTCTGCAAGAAAATAAATTGCTATAGCCAACAGCCAAAAGCAATCCAAGAAAGTCTTTAATGCCAAGGATCTAACTCCTGAGCTCTATTCCCTTACAATTCCCCCTTCTTTTTAGAAAAACAAAAATCTACCTACAAAGATTGTACAGTAAATGCCTCAGAATGATCAAGGAATTAAGTGTTTTGGTAAACTAAATATTCAGGTTGATTGGTAACATTTTACATTTCGAATCCCAGATTTTCAAAGAATTAGAATGTTATAACTATATTCAACAAAACAGAACCCTTCTCCAATTATTCAATGATCATTAAAAAATTGTAGTACCATGGAATCATCATAATGAACACTGATTATCACTTACAGGACTTTAAGAAAGCTAGAATCTAGAGGGGGCCTTAAAGACAATCTTGCTCAGCCAGATGTAGAAGATGTTGGAGATTGGATTCTCTGTACTGACCCTATGACATAACCTAAAGTTTTGTTTTGTTTTTAGTTAGGTTTGGCACTTGTTGATCATAAAAGCGAAGTGTAGAATGTATAAGTGTATAATCTCCTGGGCAGCATAATGTGGTTACCTTTCTGTAAATGTAATTATTACAATGCAGACTGAAGCAGCCTCTTCTAAAGTTATTTTGTGTCCTTCACTAAAATTGTCTTCATTTACAATACTGGCGTCTTTTAATGTTTTTGCTATTTGTGATACTGTGTTACTTTACCCTCTTGTAAACATTAATCTACTCTTTTATTATGCTTCCATTAAGCCTTTTTGAGTAGATATAAAAGAACATTTTTTATTATCAAAAGTTTATTATAATTTATTTTCAGGGCCTTGCACTAAATGCTTCAGTTTATTTTGCTTCCAGTGGCTTCAAATATCCAGCCCCCTTTTTTCCTAATCTCTCGTATATGTTACTTGAAATGAAATTCTAGGCGTGAGCATCATTAAAAATGGAATCTTTATTATTATGAGATTGCAAGATATTTCCAATGCCTACACAATGCATAAACTTCATGAAATCTCTTCTAGTATAATGTTTCATATTTTGAACAATGCTGTGGTTCACAGGCTGAATCAATGAGACAGGTATATTGGTGAGCAGGAGGTTGTTAAAAATATCATTAGACATTGATTTTGCACATAAAGATGAACTCAGTGGTCATCTACCAAAATAATAGCTTGGCCATATGTGTGAAACCAGGAAGAATCCAATTAGAGAAAAATATTTGTTCATCTGTGAATTTTTGGTAAATAAGAGTTAACTACTAGTATGTGACTTTGAAAGTTCTTGGATGCTATTTTCCAATTCTGAAAACTTGTATCTTATAAGTCTAATGTCTTAGCACATCAAAAAAAGAAATAATTTGTCTTCCTGCTGAACATGAATAACTTTTGGGTAGGTGGAATGGAATATTAAGTGTTAGGCAAAAAGAGGAGGGAGATGAAGAGGAGGAGAAACAGAAAACAATACAAGACATACTTCCTTCCCTCAGAGAACCTACAATTAAATTATGGAGATAAGTCATAAGCACAGAAAAACAAAACAAAACAAAAAAGGCTAGCAGAAGTAATATGGCATATAAAGAAGAATACAGAGAAATTCTATAGACAAAATTGACAAAGCAGAGTCATCTCATTATAGTATTAAACTTTTATGAGCCTTCTAGAAATCTAAAAATCATGCAGCTAGAAATAAGCAGTGGTTAAGACTCCTATCCCCCACCCCCGCTTTAGTGTTCTGAGAAATAGTTAACTGCAAAGGACCACGTTGCCCTCGGATATTCCATAGGAAGAACCATCTTTATGCTTCCTCATGACTTCTATAAGACTCATGGATGACTTCCTAGTTTACCTGCCTCTATAAAACTCTTGGGTCCTTTCCTTTTCTTTGAGATGTTCCTCATTAATGAACATTCTCCTTATGGCAATAGCCTGAATAATAATAATGATGATGATGATGATATTTGGAATTCGAAGAGGCTATTGTGTGTAATAATTTCCTAATATTTTCTTAAATTAATGGAGCTCAATTCTTATTGATTTATAGAAATAAGTGTTTAAATAAACAGGATATTCCTAAAATTTCCAGAAAATAAGTAAACTGAATTTTCAAGACTTTTAATGTGTTAAAGAAATAGTATTTCTATAACAGCAAACTCAGAGAGTGACATCAGAGAAATGGTAGTGTGAGAGGCTCCCCTTATACTTACAATTTGAACAGCTATAATTGAACAAAGGATTCCCTATTCTAGACATAAACACATCTGAGAGATCTGTGCATTAAAACATCTGAGGGTGGGTGAGTTGGAGTGAGCATGGGAGGAGGGAAGGAAGAAGAGCAGAGACAGGTGCCCTAGATGTAGCTGGGAGCTTGCTGTGGGTCTTGGGAGAGGGGAGGAGTCAGGTGGCCACTGGCACTCTCTTCAGCCCAGATGAGCAGAGAAATACTGTGAGCATTCCTGCAGAGGTGGGCAGTAGGCACTGTGGATGAACCCAGTGACCTGGGCAGAGACAGAGGTAAGGCCGCAGTTGTCTGGCGGATGCCATTTCCAGGCACAAAAACAAAGCCATAGAGTCTGGCTCCCTCCCCTTACTTCCCACAGCTCCCTACTTAACCCTCCCAGAGCAAGCAGCAGGCCCCAGAGAAGTGTAAAGTCAGTGTCAGGCTACAGAGCACATTATCTGCAGCCCTGAGAACTGGAGAGGCAGAAATATTTGTGTGTGTGTGTGTGTGTGTGTGTGTGTGTGTGTGTACACTGTAAATCTGAGTGACAGGGGTGAAGAAGCTGAGGTCTGGCAATTGCCATTACTAAGAGGAGAACAAAGCCACAAATAAACCAGCTGGCCTCTCCCAGCTCATCCCACTTGTACCCATTGTGGCTGCACTGCTGGAAGAGTGGTTGCAGGGGACAGTGCTGGGATTTCACAGGCTCAGAAACCCATTACCCACAACATTCCCCCGCAGGAGTGGTGCCCTGAGACTACAGTGACCTGATCACAGAGGAGACACCCACCTCCCCAGGGAATACAAGGTATTTTCCACTCTCTGCAAGGATCCAAGAGCTAGAGCAGTGCAAGAGAAACTAAGAAACTTGCACTTCAGAGCCACCTACTGGAAAACAAAAGAAAAACTTCCTATCAACCTACTAAATAGAGATGCCACTCTTTAAATTAAAAAAGAGAGAGATTTCATTTTCATATATGCCTAGCAGAGAAATAATCCATCAAATTCCATGATTAAGCAAGGCAATGAGGCAGCTCAGAAAGAAAAAAATGTTTAAAATCTCCAGAAAATAAACTTAAAGACATGGAAATATGTGATTAACATGATAGAGAATTCAAGAGTGCAGTTCTGAAAAAACTCAATGACTTACAAGAAAACAAATAGTTTAATGAATTCAGAAATAAAATGCAATGAACAAAAGGAGTACTTTACCAAAAAGACGGAAAACTTAACAATGAACCAAACAGAAATTCTGGAGATGAAGAACTAAATAAAAGAAATGAAGAATAAACTAGTGAGCTTAGGAAGTAAACCTAACCAGATGGGGGAAAGAATTAGTGATATCGAAGATAGAAATCTAAAAACAATGCAGAGGGGAAAAGAGAGAGACTTGAGAGTTGTTTAAAAAACACACGAAATAACTCTATGACAACTATCTGACTTGCAATGCAAATCAAAACTACAATGAGATACCACCTGCTAGAGTGGCCATTATCAACAAGACAAGCAATAACAAGTGTTAGAGAGGTTGTGGAAAAAAAAGGGAACCCTCATTCACTGCTGGTGGTAATGTAGACTGGTACATCCATAATGGGTGATTCCTCAAAAAATTAAGAGTAGAGCTACCATACGACCCAGCAAACCCTCTCCTGGTTATATACCCGGACAACTCAAAATCATGTATTCACAAAGATATATGCACCCCTATATTCATATGCATCACGGTGGCCAAGACATGGAGACAACCGAGGTGTCCTGCAATAGAGGACTGGATAAAGAAGATGTGGTGCATATACACAATGGAATAGTACTCACCATAAGAAAGGATGAAATAGTGCCATTTGTGACAACATGGATGGACCTTGAGAACATTATGCTAAGTGAAATAAGTCAGACAGAAAAAGCTAATAACCATATGACTTCACTCATATGTGGGATATAAAACTATAACTTATGAACACAAACAGCAGAGTGGTGGTTGCCAGAGGGAAGGGGGTGGGGGAAGAAGGGAGATCTAATATGAGGTGACAGGAGAAGATTTGACTTTGGGTGGTGGGCACACACTGCAATATACAGATCTTGTAACATAGAAATCCATACATGAAACCTATATATTCATGTTAACCAATGTCACCCCAATCAATTTAATAAGTAAAATTTTTACAAAAGAATAATGGGTATTCTAGAATGAAAAGAGAGGGTGAAGGGAAAAGAGAGCCTATTGAAAGAAATCGTTGATGAAAACTTCCTAAACCTATGGAAAGAACTGGATCCTCAAATCCAAGAAGCAAACAGATTACCCAATTATCTCAATCGTAAAAGACCTCCTCCAAGGCACATTATATTAAAACTCAAAAATTAATGACAGAAAAAGAATTCTCAAAGCAATCTGGGAACAGAAGACAGTAACATATTAAAAATATCCCATTAGATCATCATCAAATTTTTCAGCAGAAACTCTACAAGCTAGGAGATAGTGTAATCAAATATTCAAACTATTGAAAGAGAGAAATTACAAGCCAAGAATAATATATCATTTAGATATGAAGGATAAATAAAGACTTTTCCAGACATACAGAAGCTGAAGGAATTTACCACCACAAGACCTCCATTACAGAAAATACTCATAAATACTTATGCCTTAAACAAAAAGACAAAAGGATACAAAACTATGAGTAAGATGACTAACAGACAGACACAAACAGACTGTTGTAACCCTCTTTCAGAACAGGGTATTATACACTTAAATATAACATAAAGATGCAAGGAAGTAAAAAAAA